CCCTGGAAACATTCAAGGCCAGGTTGGATGGGGCTCTGAGCAGCCTGATCTAGTTAGTGGTGTCCCTGTTCCTGCGGGGGGGTTGGACTAGATGACCTCTAGGGGTCCCTTCAAACCCAGAACATTCTATGATTCTATGAAATAGCAGCTGAAGGGAATCCAGCAGCCAGAGCTAAGGCTCAACATAAAAGGAAATCTGCTACAATATGACAGCACCAGTACCGATAGACTTCAGCAGTCATTGTTGAGGATAGGCTGCCCCTTGAACCAAACCTGGGAATTCTCTCCTGAAGCAGATGTGTTTGAGGGCACTTCTGAGTTCCTTCAACATCCAGATAGTAGCCAAAGGGTTGTTATATCCATTGTGAGCCATCCTTTCTCCTCATGGTAGGTTACGTGCATGCCTTGGAACGATGATCCTCTTGCTACTGAAACCAACCTTCTGAAGGAGCAGCTGGAGAAGGTTAACAGACGAGGAATCCTGACCATCAACTCCCAGCCAAACATCAACGGCAAACCGTCCACAGACCCCATTGTAGGCTGGGGGCCCAGCGGGGGTTATGTGTTCCAAAAGGTACTGCACTGCTCTGGGCTAGGCAGCAAAGAGTTATGACCCAGTTTGGTCTCTGTTAGGTAGTGAGGTCCTAGGCTTTCACCCAGATAATCCTTTCTGCCCACTCCTTATCTTAATGTCTTCTTGCTGAGATGAGGCAAAGCTCCTTTGGTGTCTTAAGAGACAGACTATGTCATCTCTATGGCTTACTTCATAGCTGTTTTCCCTCACCTCAAAACATCTATTGAACAATTTCTTGGTTTTATTCTCAGCAAGTAATTATTGGTAACTTCTTTCTAGAGCAGGGCTATGAAATTTTAGGTACAAACACATGCCTGTCCATTGCATCTGATCCCATTCAGTGCTGCAGGAAGCACCTAGTTTTTTCATAAAATGGGAATGAATGAAATATCATCTCTGCCACCCAGCTTCTCATGGTAGTAACTGGGGATTTAAAAATTCCCCTATCTGCCCTTTTCTAAGGCAGAGTTCTCCATGAATTGCTCCCACCCCACAGCACTACTGCTGTGCTGTTCAGACAGCTGCCAGGTTCCTTCTCTACCCTGCAAGCAGTCTTATCTGCCATGCCTGCCTCCTACTGTCATGAATTTTCAGGCCCTAGAGCCTTGCCACTAATAGCTGTGGTAGGAATCTCCCATCAAGGTAAATGCCAAGCAAGTGGCTCATACTAGGAAACAAAGCAGCCTTGTTCAAAGGGGATCCAAACTGCTAAAGCCGTGAGACCAGCAGATGGCAAATGCAGTTATGTTTTCAAAGGAAAAAATTCCCCCGAGGTGAGGGGAAATCCATCATCTCACACAATAGCCAGGAAATGGGGGGAGGGGAAGCAGTTGTTGGGAGCAGCCAAGCACAGAGCAGCAGTAGATCGAGCAAGTACAGAATTAGGTTGTATAACCACACAGGGAGAATTGTGAACAAAAGATGAGGACAGGGAATGGTAGGGTGCTTGGGAGAGCCCAGCTGAGGCCCCTGACTTCTGCTTCTGCCAGACTGGGCTGCTTTGGCAGGACACTGCTGTTGTAGGGTACCATGTAGAATGGAGGTCAAGCTCGGGCCTTTTCCAAGCACTCTACTCTGTCTGGCGCAGGCTGCTTCCCAGGCACAGCAGTTGGGGTTACGCTGTCTGGAGCTTATTCCAGCCTGTCTGCTTATGTGGGTGCAAAACAGGAAGCTTGTAGGCTTTCCTGAGCTGGCTGCTCCTGGGCTGTTACCTCTGCTCTCACCAATTTCCCCCCCCTGCCAGCTCTCTTACTAATTTGCCCTGCCCTTTGGTCAAGCCTCCTCTGTAGTACATGTTTCTGGGAATAGATGTACAAGTTTTAGGCTGCCTGGTTTCCAAGCAGCCCAGACTCTACAACTGTCCTCTTGGTTGCCTGTATTTGTCACAGCTCTGCCATGAGTTAAGGTTCTTATTCTTTCTCCTTCCCCATCCCTCCCTGTAGGCATACCTAGAGTTCTTCGCCTCCAGTGAGATAGTCACGGCACTGCTCAAAGTGCTGAAGAAGTATGAGTTGCGAGTGAACTACCACATCGTCAATGTCAAGGTAGGCTGTTGCTTACAGGACACTTTCCTTTCATCACCTTGGAAGAGAGGCAAATATCAAAGATTCAGACATCACTATGAACAAAGTGGGACATGAAAGCTGATGAAGGGAAGGGAAAGTGAAGCAAGTCAGCTGTGATGTGCAGCAGCTGTCTGGTCTCTTAACAAGGAGAGGGTAAATGCACTGATTCCAACTCACTCAATCCCTCCTCCAGCAGTTGCTTCAGAAAGGTTTTCTTTCCTTTGGCAGGGCCAGAATATCACCAATGCTCCAGATCTGCAACCCAATGCTGTCACCTGGGGCATCTTCCCAGGCAGAGAGATCATCCAGCCCACTGTAGTGGATCCTGTAAGCTTCCTCTCCTGGAAGGTGAGTCCTCCCTCCTGCTGGATACATTGCTGTGATGCCCTGGAAGTTCAGAGTGTCTAGTTTGGTTTTAGTCTGTGACACTTCTTGCAATTGACTACTGTTGCAGTATTAGCTTGCAGAGGTCCAGAAATAGCTCCTCCTGCTCCCTCAGCGTAAGGAGAACTTTGCTCCAGCAAGCTCTTCATGGACACCAAGCGCCCAGTAACAGGAGGCTTGGGAGCTACCACTGTCACTGTACTGGCCTCCAGAGCTCTGAGCAGTAGCTCTCCCTACTCTTACACGCACAGGGGCACTATTGAGCCATTTTACTGCAAACGCATTTCTTTTCAGCTCTGAACAGTTGTGTTCAGGGCACTTGCCACTGGCTGGAAAGCACCAGGCTCCTTGCTCAGCTCTTGCAATTTTTACTGAGAAGAAACAGGCCACAGGGTGGCTGGGCATGTGTGACACTTGTTGTCCTAAATGAGTTAGTAGAGTGCTGTATTTCTGTAAGATGTGCATTACACCACTTTTTTTTTTTTCTCCCCTTGGCAGGATGAGGCCTTTGCACTTTGGATCGAGCAGTGGGCTAAGCTCTATGAAGAGGAGTCACCTTCTCGCATGATCATCCAGTATATCCATGACAACTACTACTTGGTCAATCTGGTGGATAATGACTTCCCACTTGAAAACTGCCTCTGGCAGGTTGTGGATGATACTTTTGAGCTGTTGAACTCTCCGACTCAGCAGTGAAAATGCTTCTTCTAATCCTTTACTTCCTCCTTCCGTCCACTGACTGAAGGGAGAGAAAAAGCAGCTCCTGTGCTGACTGTGAACCACACACTCCTAAACCCAGTGACCAGGCTAGCTCTGTGATCTACCCACACTACGTGTTCTTCTATCCCCAATGCAAAGGCTCTCTGATCCCTTTTCACTGAACAATAGCCAGAACTACCTGAACCTCTGAGCTGAGGCTCTAGACTGAGCTTGAAGGCCAGCTCAAAAGAATGAAGAGGTGCTAATCATGGCTATGTTGATTAGGGCAAGAGGAGAACTCTTGTACATCAGTGTGATAAAGTTCAGTGGGATTTTGGTAACCTTCTCATGCCAGAAATGCTGTCTTAAGGACAGAAACACTCCTGTCAGCAGTGCCTATGCAAGGAGACTATTTCAGTAGTTACCAACCCTGAAAAGAAGCTCAAGTTGCTTTCATATTGCACTCCTAAGATGTATTTCTTCATAACTGATCATACCAGGTTCTCTTTTGCACCCACTCCAGAGGAAGATTCAAATTTTCTCCCTAACTTTCCTCCTTTTCTTATTTCTCCTCTTTTCTTTTTAATAGGAAGATACGAATTTCACTTCTGGATGAGACTGAGTAAGAATCACACAATTTCTTAGATTAAGTACAATAAAATGTACAAATAAAATGTCTCTTGTACTAGGCCATACTCTTGTAAGTAGCAAAGACTCCTAGTGTTTGCAAACTAAGCAGCCTGGCACAAGGGAAAGTTTTAAGAAAACCAATTGTTTATGGGGCAGTTCTGCCTTAACTGAAGTATGGACAAAGCTCTGTGGTAGAGCAAAGAAAGCTTAAATCCTAGAATTTACCAAAAGCAAAGAGCTACAACCTTTGGCTCAGTTCTGCAAGGTCACAGGGGTTGTGGTGGTCCTTTTCCAGTGCCTGTAGG